AATTGACCAATCATAGTCGACTATTTTTACGACTACGACTTTATGATTTCTACGTAGACGTGGCTTTACGACTACGACTCTGCAACTCTCATTGTAGACTCAGCACAAGTATACTCTTAATGTGTTCTTAACCAATCACAGAGCCGTATTAGCTTCTTAAAACAACACTTAAGCCTCCGCTACAATGATTCTCGGTTCTGTCTACAATGGTCGTAGTCGTAGTCGCTCGATAAGAATTGACCAATCGCAGTCGATTATTCTTACGACTACGACCATTGTAGACAGAACCGAGAATCATTGTAGCGGAGGCTTAAGACTATTTTGAAATAAGAATCGACTATGAATACCAGCCCTAGAGACCCTTAATTTGATTAAAGGATCTCTAATCACCCTCAGCTAATGTCTCTTGTCAGTGTAGTTATTTAGCATTGGACAGTCATATTCAAATTTCGCGGTAGAGACGCCATATTGATTTAATCCGGTCCTCGGCTACCAGAGGCACTCGTGTCGTCGGTCTCGTTAATATCACGGAAGACCGCCCGCCCTTCGAGCCAGCGTGTCGAAGACTGTTCGAGACAGTCGGCTCGCTCGCCTCGTCGTATGACAATTGTACATACGTTATTCAGCCAGGCGATCTTCTCTCTTGTTAATCGAGTTGCCGTTAACCACTGTGTGTCAAGGGGACGACGCCAGTCGACGCCATGATGGTAGGTGGAACCTGTTATCAATCGGTGTGACCGGCGTGTCCGCCCGTTCGACGCGTTCGACGCGTTCGATCGGCGCGAATCACCCGCAAAGTCCGCTCTTTCCCTGCGAACGCGCCTCTAATACCCGCATCCTCTAATACACGAAAAATGTTGCAGGACGGAATATGTGACACCACCGAGATTTTAAACAACGTACCTCCCAAGAAGGTATTCGTAGCCTTTCTCTTTATCGTACTCTTTGCAGTCGTCGCCTCCTCCTCTTCTACGTCCCGCTTGATAACGCGCGCATTATCGTCATTATTCTGCGTCCTCCCCTTTGTTGTCGCATTTTCGACGATAACTCCGTGCTGCCGTGCCCGCTAATGGAACTACACCTTTCAGACAATCCACGCTGACACAATAGACCTCTCCGATAAATCCCTGCAGGTGGATATCTCGGATGCGCTCAGCGAGAAGGACAAAGTCAAGTTCACTGTACATACAAAAACCACCCTACCTGAATTCCAAAAGCCTGACAATCTGGTTGTGAGACAACACGAGGAGTTTGTGTGGCTCCACGATCGATTTGAGGAAAATGAGGAGTACGCTGGTTACATCGTATGTATGCAGTCCTTGTGACATTCCGATGTTATTGTCTCGGGGCATTTTGCCACTTGAGTACTCGAAGATCACCGCAGAAATCTGTGTCAATGGCACCGAGTATACTCTGGCTGTGTCCTGATATTTACTCTCAGTATTGAAAATGTGTTCAGCGCATGTGACGTAAACTAAAGATTTTTAGTACTGGCAGTGAATATCGGAACGCAGCCTCTGGCGGTGGATCTGTTATTGACGTACCTCGTTTCTGTACTAGTTATCAAAATTCCGAGCTATTATTAAATCAAACTATCCTGGAATATTAAATAATGATATTGAACAATCATATAAGAAGTCGCTCGTGGGTAATCTTTTAAGAGAATGGTTATCGCGTTTTACGGTAATTTTCAACGTAATTGGAATTTTAGAAAAATTGGAAAGGAACAGTTTTGTTTTGCAACACTCAAACAGTTAACTCGTGTTTTATTTTAAATGTAAATGGTTGATATTCTAATAGATTCCACCGTGTCCACCAAGGCCAGATTTCGATGCATCTCGTGAGAAATTACAAAAGCTCGGCGAAGGTGAAGGAAACATGACACGCGAAGAATTTAATAAGATGAAGCAAGAGTTAGAAGCGTGAGTGACTTTTTGGTACATGCGTAATTTTATTGTATTTTAACTGGTAGGATCTGACTTTGTCATGCTATTTTTTTGTGACTTTGCAGAGAATACTTAGCCACGTTCAAAAAAACTGTCGCTATGCACGAAATGTTTCTGACCAGGCTGGCGCATCATCCAGTTTTTCGGAATGATCATAATCTGAGGGTATTTTTGGAATACGATCAAGATCTTTGTGTGCGAGGTAGCACTTTTGTAGCCTGCGCAATATCATAACGTGTAGAAATTGAATATAAATACAGAACATATGTTTTGTTTATTCTCGCAGGAAAGAACAAGATGGAAATGTTTGGTGGTTTGGTGAAGTCGTTCTCCAAAACCACTGATGAATATTACCTGTCGGCTACAGTGAAAGATGTGAACGACTTCTTCGATCAAGAAATGACATTCCTTCAAACTTACCATCATAATTTAAAGGAAGCAACGAGACTGGCCGATCGTCAAACAGCTAAACATAAAGACGTAGCAGATTCATATATAAAGATTTCCACCAATCTTTTACAATTAGCCACAACGGATACTGGAAAGCTCGAGAGATTTTTAACTAAAATTGCCGAAACCTTCGAAAAGTTGCGAGTGAGGACACTTTACAGAACGCTCTTTCAGAATTTCTATTCAAATCAAATTAAATCCATTACAGAAATACTTTCTTTTTGCAGAAAGTTGAGGGACGGGTGGCGTCAGATGAAGATTTAAAATTATCAGATACCCTTCGTTATTATATGAGAGATACAGCTGCGGCTAAGAGGCTCCTTTTCAGAAGATTGAAAGCTTTACACGAGTACGAATCTGCAAATCGTGCTCTTGAAAAAGCTCGTGCCAAAAACAAAGATGTCCATGCCGTAAGTGCATATTTTTCTACAATTTATAAATTTATATTCATGTAATATAATAATA